TTGAGGAGGGTTTATACACGCATATCGGCGGTTGTTTTGGCTCGCGAGTGTGTTGGTGTAGGTACTACATCGGTCGATCCATATCCCGATACGGGGACACTGTTCTGACCGGCGGGATTATTTTTGGGTGACCTTTCCAGGGGCTGCCTGGGGTGTGTTCTGCACCCAGCGGTTTTTAACCGCCTTGACCGCTCGTTGAGTCGCCGGCGTTATAGCGCGGGCTCTACTTTGAGTCCTACCGAAACCGGGGCTCCATTTTACAACGCTTTTATCAACTTGCATCAACTTGGATCCAGAAAATTTCAATGTTGTGTGTCCGACACCAAAGCAAAGCTTTGAAAAGTTCCTATAAAAAAGCATAGTGCATAGGGCGACAGCTGTAGTGAATAGGGCGAGGTAGATGACATCTAGATGTCGCCCTATGTACTACGTTTGCTACAGCGGAAATAGACGACACGCCATTTCTTTAAATAAAATTAATTGGTGCTCGTTTGTATGTACATACATATGTAAATGCATGTGTGTGCACCTTTCTATTAATATCGTTGAATTATTTTAATATCTATCGCAAAATTTTATTCAGACAGGACCAAAAAGTAGAAAATAAATAATATAAAAAAAACTTTTTAATATACAACGCTTTTATAAATGGACTAAAAAGTAGAAAATAATACTTCTCAGTCCCATAAAATTTGTTTTGATAACTTTTGATTTTGAAATTTTAGCAAAAGTTATTATAAACAATCTATGAAATTGAAAATGAAAAGCGTGGGGCGCATGTAATACACTTGAATTGATATGAAAAGTAATATATGAATGTATGTATGTGGGTATATGAATAACGAACGCTTAAAATCGATTTCAAAGTTTTACTTTCGCTGTAGAAATTTTAGGTCTACGTTATGTAGTTTGACTATTGTCAATTAAATCGAATGCTTTGTATTGCATGCGCTCCACGCTTTTCATTTTCAATTTCATAGATTGTTTATAATGACTTTTGCTAAAATTTCAAAATCAAAAGTTATCAAAACAAATTCTATAGGACTGAGAAGTATTATTTTCTACTTTTTAGTCCATTTATAAAAGCGTTGTATATTAAAAAGTTTTTTTTAAATTATTTATTTTTTTTTGATAACTGTGCGACAGCTCAAATCGGTATTGAGTAAAACCAAATGCAAGAGATAGTTTTTGAATTTCATTGAGTTTTTTTAATAAATACTAAAATTAGAGGTGTATGAATGGCGAAAGAAAAACTTTATCCGATTTTTTTAAATCGAAACTACATTTTTACATATGCGCATGCATACATAAATATATTTAATATGAAATTGAAATTTCCATATCAATTCGCGCTATCTTCAAACGCATGGTTTCAATTGTACGCATATCGTCAGGGTTTTCCTCACAACTTGGTTTTGCTGCAGTGAAGCGACAGAGCAAGTGACGAGAAAAAATGTATGCGGACACTTACATACCCTAAAAGAATTGTGTGATGGAAACTAACACATTCTCATTTATCTTACTAACACATTTGCAAATTTTGCGTTGGTTAAAAAGAGACCAATATATAAGGCCATAAGTTGGAGGAAGACGGAAGATCATATGTACACAAATGTTTACATCAGATTTTTCACACTGCCGTTTAGAATGTGATAGAAACTTGTAGGTAGCCAGTGACAGAAATCTCTATCAGCCTTGCCAGTCAAATGATTTGTCAAATGATGGTCACTGTTCTTGCAGGGTATGTATCTATGCACATATGTATGTATCTATGCACATATGTAGATATCTATGCACATACATACATATGTACTTAGGTATGTATATCAGCATTTTAGTTGAAAGTACGTTTTGCTCGTCGCTCTCTTCATCGCTCCACTAGATTCCTGTCCTTAGTTTTATTCAGATACCACAAATGTATGTTTTCTTCGAAAATACTCAAGTACTACCAGTAGAGTACTCTACTGTCAAACACCTTTTACTCGCAGTAGTTGCGGAAGGCAAAGTAAATACTCTACGCGTCTTGCTATTGATCGGTAGTTTAGGTACGCTTGCAGAAACTGGTTTATGCTTACTCACACTTGACCCTAACGATGAGAGTAAAGGAGGGAAAGTATTTGCGCGGCGATCGGATGTCTTGTTAGGCCGTTTAAATGGAATTACGCAGGAGTTTAGTAGCTACTGCTGCTATGAAGTAGCAAATGCAATCACTGCATGTACATACGTACATAAAGCCGCAATTAATTTAATTTAAAGAAATGGCGTATCGTGCGGTTCCGCTAAAGCGTAGTGCATATTTTTGGGCGTATTGCGTAATGTGGCTGATAAATATTTAACTACTTTCGCCAAGGTAGATGTCTAGACTAGTTTTTGAATATTGTATGTCTGGACAAACAAGATCCTGAAATGATAAAAACGTGGTAAAAACTAAGATAGTTAAGCGGATGGGGTAAGTGACCGCAGTACTGTGGTTCAGAAATCAAACTGTGTTGGAGACAGTGTTGCCAGGCCTTAAGCATGAGAAAACGTCTCTCTTGGTCTGAAAAAACGTCATTTCCTACCCAAAAACGTCTTATTCAAATGAATGTACATAAAATTGTTCTTATTAAACTTTTATTGTATACAAAGGTACATGTGTAAGTAAGGTATATTAAAATATCATTGCACATTTAAAATTCATTGTAAACTGGTTTGAGATCGTTAATAAAAAAAATCATTTTATACATACAGCTGATTAAGTCATCACCATTTTGATCGATTTTGGCTGTTTCTCTTTTGTTTATTTAATGTTTATTATTTTTCCATAAAAGCTTATTATATAACAAACAAAATATAAATCCACATTTCAAACTTTGTGCAAAAATTATAAAAAATCTGCAAAGCTTCAGCTAGATTTTCAACTTTTTATTTAGATTTTTTAGAATGTTTTTGAGTATGCAGTTTGATAGCCCATTAAATTTCAGGGCAATAACGTGCAGTTTTAGAGGGGCTAAATAATCGCGTTGATGTTTAATAATTTTTTTTTCTTGTAGACACTTGGTAAGGGGGTCGGCTGTCGAAAATGCTAAATTACGTTCTGTTAAGAAGGAGCAGAGCAATATTTCAGCCTTTTTTGCGTTCATTACATTTTCAATGAAGTCTTAAAAAAGTCGCCTACTTTTTTCTGACTTTTTATGCTGCTACAGCTTTTTTGATGCTTTTGCGAGCGTGCATGTTGCAAGAGAACAGCTCTTCCTGATTTGGCTTTTAATGTGCAATTGCAAACATTACAATAAGCCTCCTAACCTCAAGTATCTACACAACCAGCCTTTGAACACGGTCCAAGAATCAAAAAAAAAACTGCGCGTACGGTTGGTATGCATCATATTAAAGTCATCTGTGTCCAACGAATAAATATCTTTTGAAGAAGTTGCTGCAAAACACAAAGCTTGTAAAGATTTATTAAGAAAATAATTCAAAAACAGTTTTACTTACAAGATTTAGTAAGAGAAAAAAATTCCTGGGAAGTTAAAAAACGTAATTTTTTACACAAAAAACGTCCAAACGTCAGCAGGATACAAAAAACGACCAAATGGCGTTAAAAACGTCAACCTGGCAACGCTGGTTGGTGATGTGATTTTTTAATTTGCTCTTATAATGCTTTAATTTTAAATTTATGGAAGATATATTTTATATGTCGTCAGTAATATTGCAAAGTCTAGTCTAGTCTGTTGCCTGGACCGGAATGCATCTTTGAGTCGTTATACTCCCATAAACTAATGGCAGAACTATCTGACTTTGGCTGATGAAGATGAGCGACAAGCAGAAGCGATAAGTTACAGGTGACAGATCATTTAAGCACCAAAGGTAATAGTTGTCATAGAAGGTTTTGCAGTATCACCGTCTATATAGAAATAAATATCTACATACACATACATACATACATAGTAATAGCCTTTAATAAACATTGGGCCGTATGCATAAAACCTAAACAAATGCTTTTCTTAAAATTTCAGACGTTTTACTCGATTTGTTCAAATAAATATAAGTTTAAGGTTTAAGAAAGAGCAATTGCTTAGTTTTTATGCATACGGTTCATTTAGTCACTTTCGCTTCCTTCTTTACAGTGTAGTTCTTCATTTAGTTATCTATTAAAGTCGAGTTCCTAACCAAGCGTTTTTTTTCATCTATGAATAAATACCTTTTTGATGATTGATTATGTTGTCTTATGTTTTCAGATGCCATATTTAAACCCTGCTCGTTCGTTGGGTCCATCTTTTGTTTTAAATAAATGGGATAATCACTGGGTTTACTGGTTCGGTCCGCTTGTCGGCGGTATTTCATCAGGTTTGGTTTATGAGTATGTCTTCAGTTTGCGTCGAAATTCACGAGCACATAAATCAAATGTAGATAGTGACTCATTCTCTATTCATTCCGAGGACGATATGAACTATGATGTGGATGTTGAAAAGCCCCACATGCCTGCTAAATATTCACATGGCACATACCTCCGCGGTCAAACAAATACCAAATCAACAATCGCAAGCAACGCTGGCACCATTCCTACTGGTGGTAACTACTGTCAGAACTTATATACAGCCCCTCCACTAAATAAACTCGACCAACCAGAACCATTATACGGAGGTACTCGCTCCCTATATTGCCGGTCACCTACGCTTACCCGCACCAATTTAAATCGCTCACAGTCAGTTTATGCAAAGAGTAACGCAGCAATAAATCGCGATATCGTTCCTCGTCCAGGTCCCTTAGTACCGGCTCAAAGCTTGTACGGCATGCGAGGGACACAAGCGCAAACACAGGCTCAATCATCTAATCTGCAAAATCAAAACGTACAGAATCAGTTGCAGCAGCGTTCAGAGAGCATTTACGGCATAAGGGGATCAACGAGACAATCACAGCAACAACAACAACATTCGCAACAACAACCTCATCACCACCATCAACAGCAGCAACAGCAACAACTTCATCAACATCAACCTGCACAGCAACCTACTCATCATCGACTGCAGCCCACTAGTCAGGAAGGCCAACAAGGCTTTCAGCCCGTATACGGAACTCGTCACAATCCTAATCCACACGATGGTAATCTCAAATATGATCGTCGACCAGAATCGGCATACGGCATGACAATGCACCGTAATCGTGGCCAATCGGCGCAGTCGGATGACAGCTCCTACGGATCCTACCACGGATCAGCAGTCACACCTCCTGCCCGTAACCAAACCGGCGGCGAACCGATACTTATGTACGCACCACCACCACCAATTCCATCAAATCATTCCCAAGTTGGTGCGCCACCCATGCGCACGCAGTCAGAGCGCAAAGTAACTGCACCAGTTGTGGTGTCACAGCCGCCACAGATCACAACCGGTATGGTCACATACTCGACGAGTTCGAATCAATCCCTGCTATCAGCAACCCCGGCCCAACAGACATCACAACAGCAGTCACAGCAACAGCAGCAGCAGCAACAATCGCAACAACAACAACAGATTTTAGTACAACAACATCAAACATCTCACCAGCCATACTATGGCATGTTACCGATGCGAAGCAATTGAAGATGGCGCTGATGGTGCCCGTGAATACCGAGTGATTGTCTGAACGAAAGTTTATAAACCAAAAAACGCTTTCCGAACATTAAAATAAATCAAAACGTCTGTATACTTTTATGTACATAAATTGTAAAGAGAAAATTAGCAAGGCAAAGAATTATTTATGTATTCGACATAACGCATCATTTCATGAACTGATCTAGATTTGATTATAAAGGCAACGAACTGATGATATACATATACACAAAAAAGCCAATACGTACAAACTTGAGCTATTAAAATTTGTTTAAGTGGTCTTCCTTCATGATACCAAAATTTTTATGTTCCACCTCTCGATACGAATGTCTTTCGGCTAAAATTACCATTTTCATTGCAGTTTTATGACAACCCATGAAACAAACTATTAAATACTGGGATTAACGAAAAGAAATCGGTCTAAACTCGTATTGATACCAACTTCTGGATGGGTTGACGACTCCCATTTCGCATTGATTCGTCGTAGAGTTAAGATGGAAGTCGGAATTAAATTTTATTCATTCTAAAGTTTTTGTTCACTCTATAAAATCACACTCGAAATTGTTTTTGTGTGGTAAGCCGTTTATTATGTTTTTATGTTCACCTTATATGCGTAATTAAGGAATCCAAGCAATTAAGCTCAATTTACCATACAAAAACTGGATTATTTAATTGTGCAATTAACACCTAATTACATCTAAATGGAGTCAGATTTGCCAGGCATATTCAGTGAGAAAAGAAAAGTATGTTCAAATAGAAAACCAAATTTCATGAAAATAGAGAATCAAAAGGACAAAATCAAAAACAAAACGAAAAATTAAGTGAAGACAGCCCATGGGATGTACATTTTTATATACCAACTCCCACAATGATCTTCGGCTGCGTATTGCTCTAATTTTGCAATAAGCACTAGCTCCATTCTCCGTAAACTTTGAACAAACTGCAAAACTGGCTTTTAAAAAACCAGGGCTTGAATCGTCACATACGATATCGTAGTACTCGTCACGTAAAGACACATTTTTCAGATTATGACATACGTGAACGTACTCTTTACCCCATTCTGCTTATACGACTGACCGTATCACGTAATTTTCTTTCGTATGGTTTTCGATCCGTGAACGGATGTTACGATTCGAGCCCAGTCTACAATCAAAACTCGCTTGACTGAAAGAGTTCTAATGTGTACTATTTATTATATGATCTAGCGAAATTCTTTCAAATATGAATTTTTTTAAATATTTCGATACTTACATACATACATGTGAAAAAAGTTTCAAACAAAAACATGTTCAGTTGTCAAATGATAATTGTGCAAACTGAATTGGGTGATTGTGAAAATTACAGTCAGTAATTCAATTTAACACTTAATTGCCTTAAATGCAGTGGAAATCTGAACATAGTATTACCCATGATACAAAAAAAAAGTACAGTAAAACCCGCTTAAGTACCTCGATGCGGGCACTTAAGCGAACATAATTACTGATTTAGTTATGAATCAAGTTAAAAATCAAGATCGTAGTATTATTTAAACACATAAATAAAAACTATATTTTGAAAAAATAAACGAAGCAATATTATGTAATTTTTATCAATAATTCAATTCTTTAAAAAGTCATTGATTATACAAGTTGACTTAACGCTACCTAATGGATCACTCTTTGCTCACGTTGCCAGACCCGTGACATCATTACTCCACGTAGGCACCCCTATTCTGCAACTCTTTCGTATTCGGATTTTGCTACGAATCGAAGAAATAGTATGCTGCAATCCGAATCGTATTTTCGAACTTTCGAAATTCGTAACAATGGCATGCCTAACAACGAACGAGTAAGCTTTTTTGCGTAATTTTGTACGAAAACAATTCTGTGTCGGAGGCGAGATAAAAGATGTAAATCGATGTGTGTTTGCAGGAAGTATTAATGGCGTTCATTTAAACAGATAAATTTGCATTTCGTATATACGTATATTTTTACCAACTCCTTTATATAAATGAACAAAAAAAATCTTTCTTGCCCTTATCGAGAAACTTGGGTTCGGTTTAGTTATTTGTACAATGATTTTCGGTTGTTGTGTCCAAACGCATAACCCGAATCTACTTTTACATACAAATTAAACTTTAATTTAAAATAAATCTTTCAAATTTCAGAGCAATAGTTTTATAATAAATTCGGTTTGCACTATGCACTTTTTTGTAAATTTCGATGTGGGTTCTGCGCAAAAATACTGTGGATGGCGTAGCCGGAGTTATATGCACAAGAAATGTTGTATGCCTTTGACATGTGGATTCCCTCACTTCTCCGGCAACACAGAAAGGAGAATTATACTTAGTGAGGGTTATAATCCCTAAGCGCGTCCGAAGGCAGAAGCAAGCGCAACAGGTGGTGGACCCAACAAAGTGCATATTTTCAATGGCTTGTATTGAGAACCAATTCTTCAGGCATAGGAAGTTGTGGTTGAACAATTAAACCAGAAGCTGACATAGATGCGTCCATGGTTACTATGCCCGACAGCCCTGTATATCTTTATGAATTCACTTCCATGGCGCGCTCTTACTCTGCTGCTATAACTGCAAATGGAATAGAATCCATCGTTTCCTTCAAAATATGTAAAATCAAAAAATTTTACAATAAATAAGCACTTGATTAATGTTTTGTTAATTCCTTTCCACTTTGTTTTCCTTCATACAGCTGTCTTCGAAAAACGACTGATAGCTGCCAATGCTGCACAGGTTTCCGCAAGTGTTGCAGCATGTCGATTTTTCGTTTTTCGTAACGTAGCTACGAATTACGAAAATTCGGGTTCCAGAATAGGGGAGGGTTTACCGCAGAACTTTTGCTGATGCAGCACACGTGCAACAGCGCGATCACGTTGGGCAAACACAACCAGCGAAAGCGTGAGAATTGCAAGGTAGGCAATATCGGCCTACACGCGCAACCGATCGATTGGGAAATACAAAAGCATGGGAACTGCAACATAAGCATAATTGGGTAGGCTAAGAAGTTAGTTGGTTTTTTGTTTTTTTTTGTTTCGAAGGGGGAATCTTACATAGATACCGCCAACCATGGACGGCATGCACGATTCATACTGCTCGCTAAAGGTACACCTCATTCGGGACCGCGCACAGACAGTATTTTCTTACTATACTGGACTTGCGAAACAGTACGCCTACGTACTAAACCCTTAACTCCGACTTCTGTAGCTTGTATTTGGCCCTGCGGGACCGCCGTTAGGCATTTCTTCGCAGGGCTAAGCTAGGCCAGGAAGGCTCTTCACACATTCCGTACAGAGTTATTCATCACTTGCGCATCTGCACATCTCCGCTGACACTCTTTCTTTCTTAACTCCTGAAGCGCTACTGCGGACCGTTCCTTCATCTGAGCCCACACCTGTTTCGATTTCAGCATGTGGCTCACAAAGTTATCGGGTGTCATCCTTTCTTCTATTAGCCTCTCTATGGTTGTTATTTCAGCTACATATCTCGAACAGGAGAAAAAGATATGCTCTACGCTTTCACCGACACTGTTTCAGAAGGAGCACTCTGTCGCATCGTCGTGACCAAATCTGAGGAGGTACTCCCTGAAACAGCCATGTCCTGTCAGAAATTGCGTCAGGTAAAAGTCTGTCTCTCCGTGTCTTCTCTGGACCCAGGCTTGCACGTTCTTGATGAGCCTATACGTCCATCTTCCTTTTCTTGCCGCGTCCCATTGTGTTTGCCACTCGTCGAGGCTCATTTGTCTCTCCTCTTTGCGTTCGTCAGCCGTTAGTGGCCTATTCCTGCTTTTTGTTCTACTGTAGACTCTGCCTAGCTCCGAGGCCATTATGTCCGGCGGCATAATGCCGGATATAATACCAACCGCTTCATGCGACACTGTTCTGAAAGCGCAGGCAACTCTAATAGCGCTTAGCCTAAAAACTGATTTCACCTTCTTGGCATATGTTTTTTGACGCAGGGCTGTTCCCATATAGGCGCCGCCTACATCATTACTGACTGGCTTACTTTAGCCAGGAGCGCTCTGCTACTCTGACTAGGGCCACCGATGTTTGCCATGATTCTCGCTAAAGCCGCTGTCACTGCAGCCGCCTTACAGGCTTTTCTGTATGCGTCTCATTAATCCGGGAAATTTCTTTCGCAACGATCGTCACGGCAATATCGTCCGCAATACCCTCCTTCCTTTGGCAGTGGGAGGTGTAATACCCCATCGTACAGCACATTCCATAATAATGGGCCTAATACGGAGCCTTGTGGCACTCCGCCCGTCACAACGTAGTGTTTGGGACCTTCGTCCGTGTCGTACAATAGCAGTCTGTCAGACAGGTAGCTATTTATTATGCGCAGTAGATAGGCCGGTGTTTCCTTCGCCTCCAATGCTCTCATAATGTGTGGCCAGTATGCCGAGTTGAAAGCATTTTGTACATCAAATGTGACAACAGCTCAATATTTCTTATCGCCATATATCCATCTGGCGCCCTCTATGGCCTTGCCCGCAGTGCCCGTCAATTTTCCAATTGTGTCTATGGTGGAACGATGTTTCCTAAAGCCAAATTGATTTTCAGACAAGCCAGGCGTCTCACCTTCTAGGTGATGTTCCAGACGTGTGCAAATCAGCCTCTCCAGTATTTTCGCCATCGTGTCGATCATGCAAAGTGGCCGGTACGCATTCGGCTCACCCGCCGGTTTATTCGGCTTCTGAAGTAGGAACAGGCGTTGCTTCTTCCATACTTTCGGAAATACTTCTTCATTCATGCACCGCGTATAAGCTCAGCGAAAATCTTCGGGTTATGTTTAATAGCGATCTTAAGCGCCTTGTTCGGGATACCATCAAGTCCAGGCGCCTTTGCGTTACCGAACCTCTCCGCCGCCATGATTACCTCCGCTTCGTCGATTTGAACTGCTTCCACTACAGCGGGTGTCACCATACTTGGTTGCTGTTCTTGCTCTGGGAAAAGCGTTTTTACCACCTTCTCTAGGAGGACAGGGCAGGTTGGTGCTTGACCTCTACCACCTCTGACCTTTTTCATGACTATTTTGTACGCGTCACCCCACGGGTTCTCATCCACCTTTTCACAAAGTTCTTTGAAGCTTATTGACTTGCTTCTTTTGATCGCTTTTTTAAACTCCTTGCGTTTTCTCTTGAAGCATTCTCGTAGTCTTGCATGCTCTGCCGTACCCTGGCTTCTTTGGGAGAGTCGTCTTGCTTTATGACATTCGCTTCTTAGTGTATTAATCTCCTCATTCCACCAGTATGCGGGCTTTCTTGCAGTATTTTGTCTTTTCCTGCACATGGCGGCATCGCAGGCTTTGCTTACGTATTTCGCCAGGATGCTGGCTTGCCGGTCCACGTCATCCGAGCTGTCCGGGTTCCCGTCTAGCATGAGTCTGAAGATTTCCTCATCTAGTGTTTCCACCCTCCACCCTTTCGTCTGTGTTTTGTGCAGGCTCCCTATAATCTGCGCATGCTTGCGGATTTCCATCATAATAGCAAGGTGGTCGCTATGTGTGTAAAAGTCGCACACCCGCCAACTTGCTGGCGAACGCTATGTCAATTATTGATCCGCGACCGTTTTTCTCGAACGTATTCCTTCCGCCGGTATTGAGTAACACCGCGTCTAGCAAGGAGAACGCCTTAAGCAAAGCATCACCCCACCTATTTGTATAGCTGCAGGCCCATTCCTTGGCCCACGCATTGAAGTCACCTGCTAACACATTTGGCGTTGTAGTTCGGGTTTCTTGAACTAGATTATCCAGGATCCTTTCATAGTCTACTTGTGTTACACTCGGCGGAATATAGCAACTGTAGAAATTGATTCCACGGATCTTCGCCCGCGTATAGTAGCTTTTCTCAAGGAGCGGTTTGTCTTGGAGAGAGTTGCCCCACAGGCCCATATGGCAGCTTTGTTCCCATGATCAGAGACCCAGTTTCCGACGTCTAGGTTTTTTGTACTGCTCGCAAATTATCGCCACATCTATCTTCTCCTCGTATACTGTATGCATCAGTAGCTGCTGTGCTGCTTCATAATGATTTTGGTTGATCTGTACAACTCTCATTTCAACCTTTTGCACGCTGCTTGATAAAGAGGACAGAGGAGAAGTTAGTTGGTAGGAATATTGAATTGTTAAGTTCAGTCTATTTTTGGGTGGTGCATTGAGCACACGATAGGTTTACTTTTATAACATAAATTGAGTGGTGCACTGAACATACAATAAGTCTACTTTTATAACAAATTAGCAGACCCGGCGAACTTCGTCCCACCCAAAATAAATTTTTTGTACACGGTCAAAAATTTGTCTTTTATAGTCTACTTTTTAAACCAGTCAATAGTTTTAAGCAATTTTTAATATATTGTGGTTTAAATTTTAGTCCAAAAAGTTCGTGATTTAAAAATCAACCCAAAATGTTTTAATCCTAGTTTCTAGGTTTCATATATAGAAAATTTGGTTTAAAATCTAAACCGAAAAGAAA